GGAATAATTATGTGGGAAATTTTACATGGAAAACCTGTTATCTTTGAACAAAAATCTAAATTACAATCCAATTTACAATTTCAATTACAAATTTGTGATGGTTTGCGACCACCTATCATCGAAGGTACAGCTTTATGTTATTTAGATCTTATGAAAAGATGTTGGGATAAAGATCCAGAAAATCGACCATCAGCTGATGAAATTTACGATATTTTTCTTGAATGGCAAAATAATGAGGATATTTTATTGGAATTATCCGAATATGATAAGAAAATACAAAGCATTACGAGTAAACATATTGATATGCAAGCATATATCGAAACAAGTTATAAAAGCAAACTTATTTTATATAATGGTAATTTTATTAATAAAATTTATCAATTACTCTATTTGGTATTAATATTATTTTTATACTATAGATAGTAAACTGCACGATCTGGAAATAAATGAATCCGAGTAGGAATAGACTCAATAAGAATTAGTTAGGATTAAATTTATAAGGGTTATAAGAGTGTTATAAGAGTGTTATATAGTTATTTATTTTATGATAGTACTAGAAAATGGGAACAGGAACACAAAATTGCATGTACACGCGTTAGAATAATGAATTAAAATCACAGGAGACGTGATAAAAACAGTTGGTGTAAAAAATTTTTGCGTCTATTTTCTTTTGCTTTTGTTGCTTCATGTTCCATATGTATTTTTTTTTTCAATTGGTTGTTGATTCGACAGTTTCTGCATCTCTTCTTTTTATTGACAAACCATTATTTTTATTAAACTCAGATTATTAAATGTTATTTTTTCAGAGATATTGTTATAATCGCAATTAAACTATTGTGTTCCAATGATGTCATTAATTAAGAGAATAAGGTTTATTTTTATAATAAGTGTAATTTATTATATTATGATTTGATATGACCTCTTTTTTTATAATTTATTAAAAAAAAGACAATGTATGATATTTTAAATTCTGTTGTAAATACATAAATATTTAGAATTTATTTCACCAATTATACTGTAACTTAACTTACTAGATTCTATTTTTTTTTTTTTAAACCGTAGAAATATAAGGTATGGAATGTAGGGGTCGAAATTATATTGCTCATGGCGAAAATTATTTTAGATAGTCTAAACCGTAAATAATTTTTATGTCTAAAAGAATTCAGGTTGAAAAAATTATTTTAGTGTATTAAACATATTTTAGGATGTCATAAATATTTTAGAATGGCGAAAAATAATAAGTAATCTTTAGATAAAGAAATAATTATATTAAGTACTAGCTAACTGGCACGTTCCTACATTCGTTCTTTGAGTTAATTATAATATCTGTAACTGACCGATCAGATTATTATAAACTGAACAGATCAAAAATACTGTATAAAATTAGTTTTGAGCCTATTTTTTTTACTAAATTTAATTATGTTTCTTAAATTTCTTGAAAGAATATCGCATCTATAGATGTAAAACAAAATAGGCGTTTTAGTAAAAACCTTATTATTAGTCACCCAAAATTAACAAAAAGCGGACATACACTTAAAATTTTAATAGTGTAGTTATCATTAATTATTATTGCTCGATCAGAGACTTTATTAAAACTATATATGAAAAGACATATGGGAAAGAGGTTCGCTATAACTTAATACAAATTTAAAAGCAACTTAATTTTAGATTTGATACTATAACAAATATGATAGTAAAATTAATTATAAAATGTCAAAATATTTTTTTATTCTTTCTATTTGATGACCGAATTACCAAATATCTTGATAGTAAATTGGTTTATGGACGATGTTTTAATGTTTTAATACAGCTGAAGACTTTTATTTCTGTATTAAGGTTTTAAAGGATCAATACAAGTACAATAATTGGGAATGCGAAAGATCGTTATTGAGAAAAAAATACAGTGCGGTAGTAATTATAATGTAGATGTGTGTAATAAATTTTTTCTAATCTTTGAGTGAATATATAAATCACTTATTCAAAATCGATGAAAATTTTTTATACCAGTTAAATGAATTCTTGAATTAAAAATAAAAAATTTTATCGATTTTTAAAATAAGTGATTATCGAGATATTTTTTCTAAACTTTGAATGCAGATATCTCGTATCCACTTTTGAAATCAATAAAAAATTTTTTATTTTAATTTTATGAATTTATATTATTATCACTCAGTTTAGAAAAATCTACAAAAAAAGTTATTAGGGATCGTCGATTTCGTCTAAATTAGAATGCAGTTGTTCGAGTAGAATCTCAAGTTAGCAACACTTAGTGACTCGGATGACCTACTCACAGATGAGGTTTTCAGGATATGTCCAACTAATAGTACACATATGTAAATAGTTCTGTAGTTTAAAATATTAAATAGAAATCTATTATAATTGTAGAAGCTGAAATTTGCAGAAACGGAAATTTTAGAGTTTCAATAATCAATTAAAACTAAGTAAAAACTTAAAAATATTCAGTTAAAGTTTCATACAGCAACTCTTATATGTAGTATAATAATTATTATTTTTATTTGACGATTGATTTATAAGTTTCATTAAGATGAATATTGAAGCTTTATATATTCTAAAAGTAATCAAATGTAAAGATGCCAAAAATAAGAAGATAAATATTGAATACGAATGTGATATAAAAATTGCAGAGGAGAAAAATGAAAAGATGCAGAAATAAACAAAGAGTAAATATGTTTTATACTGAAATACAAAAAAGATATCACTAAAGAACGAGAAACGTGAATACAATAAAAGCAAAGAAATAGACTTTTACACTCAATTTTGTTTATTAATAGTGTTACTGTTATACGTCATTTTTCAATTTACGTCGATTATTAATTGACACATATCATTTTTCAATTGAAAAATGACATACGTCGTTTTTCAATCAGTATGAATTTTGCGGATTAAAAAAAAGTTGCCAGAAAAATTATTTATATTAAATATTTAAATGCTAATTTAGCTACATTTTGACCGAACATATTCAAATTAATACGTATAATATATTAATATACCAGGAACGGAGTTTGTACAATGTGCAACGTAGTGTATGGTTTACAGGCAAGTTAATATGCATGTACAATTCTCAGCACTTGATTGGTTCACGCCTATTTTTCGCATGCCATTTCACACCTTATATCAGTGGCTTGACTATTGCACCTACTACTCTTTATCTTATTTGTTACTTAATATATGATGTCACGGGATTCGAGTTATGATAGTCTTTACAAGGCTTCGCTTCGGTCTCAATACCTACTGCCTTTACTATCAAGGTTACAAGTCGAATCTTTAAACAATCAAAATGGAAGTGTTCACAGCTTATTTATAACAAGAACACAGTTTTTTTATTTAACAAGCGATTATAGGGAAGGGTTATTATCGTGTGGATAGTTAGGTAAGGCGAATATGTTATGGGGTTAAAACGAATCATGCAATTTGATATCTTTATTAAAGGAAAATGCGATCACTTATATAATTTCTGTTTAATTAGACGACACCTCACGGTATTGAACTAACACCGTGCAGTGCTATCTATTTACCAACGTGCGGTGTCAAATCAACAAATGATCACCCTATTAATATCTAATTAATATGTCGTACCATCTATTTATTTTTACCAACAATATACAGGAAAAGAATAAGGAAAAAAAATATAATGTTCTAGAACTAAAGCGCATTAAAATCGTGACAATCAGTTCTACAAAATAGTTTGACTTTTTTAAATAAGATCCGAATAGTTGATTAAAGTTTCCACAGGGGATGATCTAAAAGTTAATTTAGGGGCTGGAACCGGATATCAGAAAAATTCTTAAGAGTAAGGCTCTTAGGTTTTCCCCTCTGCTCCAGCTAAATTAAACTTAACATAAACATATTCGCTTAACCAATGATTTCATTAGTTTCATTGCGATTATAACAATATCTCAGAAAAAATAAACATTTAATATTCTGATTTTAAATAAAATTTATGTTTTGTCAATGAAAAGAAGAGATGCGGAAACAATCAAAGGGCGAGATATGATTTGCACAGAAACAACAACTAATTGAAAAAAATATTTAGGAATATGAAGCAATAAAAGCAAAAAGGAAATAGACGCAAAGATTTTTTGCAACCAAATTGTTTTTATCACGTCTCCTGTGATTTAATTTGCAGTTTGAACGTATGTTCATGCAATTTTGTTCATATTCCCAAAAAGACCGTTTTTCTAGTACTATCTTAATATCAATTTTTATATAGATTTCTTAAAAAAAGTAAATACAATTAATTAATACAACCATCATGAAAATATTTGTGAACAAATGCTTTCATAAAATTTTTCAAGAGTTTGACCAAACTTGTGTGGAATCCTCTAATAAAATTAAAACGAACAACCGAATATCATAATAAGTTATATTGCAAATAAATAAACATAAATTAATCCCAATTCATTTAATTGACTAATTCTTGTTATGTCTACTCCTACTCAGATTCATTTATTTCCAGATCGTGTAATTTACTATCTATAAAAAAAGATTGAAAAAGAATATTAATATAAAATAGAATAATTAATAAATTTTATTAATAAATTATAATTACTATTGTATAAAATAAGTTTGCTTTTATAACTTGTTTCAATATATGTTTGCATATCGATATGTTCACTTGAAATATTTTGTGTTTTCTTATCATACTCGGATAATTTCAATAAAATATCACTATTGTTTTGCCATTCAAGAAAAATATCGTAGATTTCATCAGCTGATGGTCGGTTTTCTGGAGCTTTATTCCAACATCTTTTCATAAGATCTAAATAACATAAAGCTGTACCTTTGATGATAGGTGGTCGCAAACCATCACAAATTTGTAATTGAAACTGTAAATTGGATTGTAATTTAAATTTTTGCTCAAGGATAACAGGTTTTCCATGTAAAATTTCCCACATAATTATTCCAAACGAATAAATATCGGACGCTTTAGTATATGGTTTTCTATTTAAAATTTCAAGAGTAATATATGGCAAAACTCCATAAATTCCTTCATGTTCGAACTCTGATTTTATATTAGCAGATATTGAAAGTCCTAAATCAGCAATATATGCATTACGCAAGTTACTTTGCAGGATATTCCCACTATGCAAATCTCGGTGAATAAGATTTTGAGAATGAATTATTTTAAGATCAAATGCAATGCAAACCAAAACATTTAACTTTTTTTCCCATTCCATTTGTACTATATCGTGAAGATTTTTACGTAAAGAACCCTTATTAGCATACTCCATAACAAGAATATAATCTTTAGAAATGTTGTGTCTTGATAGTCCGAAACAGGTTAAAAATGTTGGATTTTTAAGGCCAATATCGCAGTATGCCTTCAACTTATAATCAAAAAGATTTTAATTAATTATTAAATTAATAATAATTAAATATACTAAATACTTTTTTTACCTCCTTTATGAATTCATCATTACAGCCATTTGATTTATGAAGTAATTTAAGTGCAAATTTTCTTCTTCTACAACAACTTTTATCAAACCAATTAGCAAAGTATACAGTTGCAAATCCACCTTCGCCTATCAATTCTATATTTTCAAATTCATTATAAGGAATCCAAGTTAACAGATATTTATTTTCGATCAATATTTTTTTTAAATCATCATCAATGTCTGAACTTTTAACTATCGATTCTTCTGTGACTATTACGTAATCATAAATTCTTGTTAATAAGTTTTAAGTCATATGAATAATTGAGTGCCAATTAATGTTCTGACTTTGAATTTATCATTTACTGGACATAACAAATCTAATTGGGGACATATAAGTCAGAGTTCTGGTAAATGATAAATTCAAAACCAGAAGTTTTTGCATAAATTGAATTAACAATGGAATTTACCTGCCGCTATACTTTTCTCTCTAATTGTTTATTTAACACTTAAATTTATTATGTGAATATGAAGTGAATTAATATCAAAAAATCTATTTAAACTCTTTGTTTACCTTTGATACCAATAGTTTGCTTTTTGTATGTCTCTTGTTATTCCATTTCCATTTCGATAACATTTTCCAACGGAAGACATTCCAACTGCATCACCCATTTCTGCTGATTTTAGATAATAAATAAATGCCTTATCTTCATCCTTTTCAACTCCAATTCCACTATCATAACAATAACCAACCATATATGTTCCCATAGCATCACCCATATCAGCAGATTTTTGAAAATAAATGAATGCCTTATGATAATCCATTTCAACTCCATACCCACGATAATAACAATTACCAACTTCAAATGTTCCTTTAGCATCATCCATATCAGCAGATTTTTGATAATAAATGAATGCCTTATGTTTATCCTCTTCAACCCATTTACCATGTTTGTACCGTAGGATTTATTTCATCATTCAAACACCAATTGATAATATTATCTGGACTTTGCTTTTTTTCGGCTATAAATTGATCAAATATTTCAAAAATTAATACCGTACTTTTGAATTTAGATTTTTCTTCATTATACAGATTGCATAATTCTTTAACAACTTCATCAAGAGAATTACTATCTTTATTAAAATTATTAGTTGTTTTGGTAAAAATATTTGATATTTTCTTTGACATTTTGAAGCAATAAAAAATCCGTATGTTTACATTGAGTAACTAAATATATATCTGGGATCCGTATCATTTCACCGACAATCATTTCATCGACAGCTCATTTAGCCGACATCACGCCAAGTGACAATTTACTAAAAATATATACCTGAAACTAATAAAACCCTAAACCTAACCCTATGTGATGTCGGCTAAATGAACTTTCGGTGAAATGACTGTCGGTGAAGTGACAGCACCGAATATATATCTGTCGCATGTATAATCACGTGTAGTATTATATTTAGTATTGTGTTTAATTAGTACAACATTATATAAATTTTTTCGTTAGGTATTTTTTTTATTATGAAAATATAAATTTCTTATTCTTTGGAACTTGACCTTGATTTGTGCAATATTTTGGTTTATAATACGTAGGCAATTTTAAGGGCTATATATCTTGTATTTACTTAAATATTTTTAGCTTCAAAAGCTAATGATGTAATTAGCTCATAGAATGTTTCATTGGGGTATTCAGTCAACTATGTTTGACAAAACTATATGATATGCGGTATCTTATAAAAATCAATTATCACAGATTTTGAATATATTATACAATAACAATAATAAAATTAATATATCGATACATATCAATATATACAAATTAATCGTATAAGTTATTATTTTATGAAGTTAATAAATTATTAAAGAAGTTTGATGCGACTTCTTACCCGAATTGTAGTGACTGAATTTCTTGCAATATGGTTCTTGATTGTTTTTTCTTTGGGTTCGCACTTTCTTAAGGCCTGACTTCAAATCAACGTTTCTCTAAACTTTTTTGAGCTGCTTGTTAGCTTTGACAACGCCGTTTATTTGACTTATGGATTCCCATTTTAGTAAATTTATTACTAGATTTAGATATTAAGGTTGTTAGGGGTGAAATTACCTATCTCGATACTGCGCTCGGTCTGGAAGGTGATCATCGAAATTTTCGAAATTTCGAAAATTTCGAAAATTTAATAAATCACGAAAATTAGACAAATATCGGAAAACTAAGAAATTTGGAGAATTTAGTAAATTTGCGAAATTTTGTAAATTTGGGAAATTTGGAAAGTTTAGAAGATTTGCGAATTTTTATAAATTTATGAAATTTTAGAAATTCATTGTATATTGTCAGAGGCAAAATCGGTATACCAGAAAAAGAAAGGACCTGTGTCTCAAAGCGATTTGTGAAGCCCAAGAACTGATCCAAGACCCACATGCCAAATGGGACCCGGATCGCATGTGAAGATCCTGCAGGACCGCTAATCGACAAATTCATAGTTAAACTCAAAAAGGCATTGATGACCCGCTTGCGAATGAAGTCACAAGGCGGGACATTATTGTGAGTCACTGGACCGTCAGGTGATGAGATTGATCGAACTGTAATAAATTTTGAGTAACTTGATAATCTGCTAATTTCTTTGTTCTTGAATTTTCTGCTCGACATTGTGTCCAGCTACGGCCCCCCCACCGCACCCGAAGCACAAAACCTAAATTCCAGAAAGTACACGATGCTCGCAAAGTATGCCCACGTGATATCAGGTGGCTTGTTCCGCGACCTCATCCCATACTGTACTTCGTGTTAAGCACAGATGTATTGTTGGCCATGGAAGTTGTTCGTTCAGCAAAGGAATGGGTTCCATGACGAACAATAATAATGAATAATTAACCCGATTGTCAAAATGTGGCTTAGAGATGTCAAAAGGATAAGTTAACCATATCAGAATAAGTTCGTGGCCGTGTCGCAGCGCCTTGATAAATTTTTAAGGCTGTTCATTGAAATTAACGAAGTGAAACCTTCATTTTAGTTCTTTTTCTTTCTTTTATATTTCTTTTCTGTGCTTCCAAAAATGTTATAAAAGAAATGTAAATTTAACAACATGTAAGAGAGAGGAGACAACATCTCAATCCTGATCAATAAAACAAATAAAATCCTTATCTTTGCTTAAACGTTTCATTACCATCTTAACCCATGCCAAATCAAATCTCACCTCTCTTTTAGGTAGTATCACATTACACTGTGTCTTGGATTTCTTAGTGACACTGTCACACTATTTCTTTTGGTTGGAGGTAGAGTTGTTAGCCTCAGACAATATGTAAAGAATATGTATAAAAGTGCTCACTTTTGACCTCAATAACGAGCAGATATTTGGTATTAAAAACTTCAAAATCAATAAAAAGTAGAAGTATCCAAGTCTAAAAATCTTCCTTTAAAAAAATCGTTCTTATTATAAATTTTACCTTTTAAAATTATTATCATTATAAATCATCTTGTTGAGAAATTGAATTAGTCTTGTTCCTTAATAGTTTTTTGTTAAATATTAGTTTTTAGTAATTAGAGTAGAAGTGCTCAAATTGTCATATTGCATACTCTTTTATTGTATTCTGAATTGATTAAATAATTGATCAATATCATAATTGTAAAATTGACTCACTAGTAAAATTGAAACCTTGTGATATCTAAATTGTAACTCAAATTATGACCAAATTATGATCAAAACATGATACTCTGATAATGTGATTAAGTCCTATAACATTCAAAAAGAAGATCAGTATAAACCTCAATATAATCTCAAGACCCAATTTAATAATCAACAACTCACCCAAGTAACCTTAAACTCAGATCAAGTTAATCCAATTAGAATTACATCTTAGTTGTATTTTTGAATAGTTTGAGTAGTTTATATCAGATTAGTTAATCCCAAACCTCTGTATAACCAACTCTCTAGACGAGTCTAACCTAGTGTGAACTAGAAAATGTAACCAGGCCAGACCCTATCTAAGATTATTTAGACAATTCGCAGTATATATTTCAGTTATACTAATTCTTGACTTTTATAGAGATTCTAGCATTAGGGATGAGTTCAGTCAGCTACAGTTAGTCATCAGTTATTATCAGTTATTGACTTATAATTGCTTGATCATAGTCAGTTATATGGTCAAATAACCATTATAACTGATAAATGACTAGTTAATATTTGATCAAATAGCTATGATATTTAATATGTATAGCTATTAATTATATTATTTTTATATTATAGTATGTAGCAATAATTTGATATATTTATAGTTAATTATTAATATATATTTAATTAATATATTTTATATAATAAATATTTTTAAAAGAATAAATAATAAATTAATGGTTAAATAAATTAATAGTTATATAAGAATCTGGTAATCTTAGTATAATGGTTAGGTTGCCAGACTACTATATAAGAGGTCTGGAGTTCAAATCCTATTGTTGATGAATTTGAATAATTACTTAAACCTTTGTATCTAACTTATAGTAAACCTTGTCTGTTTCTAGGAGTTGTAATTCTGTAAATCATGTTGTACTAATATCAATTAGGTATTAGAAGTGTAATAGAAAAGTCAGATCTAATATAATATTATATGAATAAATCTTGATAGGATCTATAGGCAGAGGATCTGTATAGTAGAAATCCTGAGTTAGATGATATAGTACATATTTCAATGGTCATGCTAACTTGACACTTGATCTGAAGAAAGTCTAGGAATGAATATACAGACCAAGTAGGTGTAAGTAAGTTCATAATATAACAGAAAAGTTAAGTATGATATAATGTTACATGAATAGTAACACCAATCTGATTTGGTAGCTAACTAGATTTGGGAGGATCTATCTTATAAAACATTCAGAAGAATTAGACTAATTTAGTAGAGAGCTATAAAAGAAACTGAGGTTGTATGAATACTAATAAGGGTATATACTAGCTTAATTAGACTATAGCATAGTATAGTTGGGGTCATCTACAAGTTCTCACTAAAATAGAACTTATTGGGATACTTTGTAATAGAGCTTAGTCTTATGAAATCAATTTGAAGTACAAGTTAGTCTAAGTAGTTCTCAAATAAGACAGTACAAGATTAGCATAGATTATAAATATTAGGTTAAAAATAAAGTTTCACTATGATGTCAGAGAATTTAAATAGAGTATCTACAAGCTGATACTAGGTATAGCAATTGGTAGGTAACCTACATAGCAGAACCTTTAAATAGATAATAACTAAAGTTGTATATATAACTAATTGTATTCTTATTAACAAATATAACTCAAAAATAATATTTAATAAAAATCTGCAGACAGTTTATTGAAAATAAATAAATAAATAAATAAATAAATAAAAAAAATAGTTATATAAATATTAAATAGTAATAAAATATATAATAACTGCTTAGAAAAAAACCCAATAAAAAAATTAGGTATTTTAAAACTATTTATTCTTTTATTTATATTGATAATACTACTAGTAATATTATTCAAACAATTTGTGACGTCCAAAACTAAGCAATATTTCAAAAACTATATGATACTAAATTATTGCTTAGTTTAGAATATCACAAATTGTTTGGTTATATTTAACACTAACATATATAATAATAACTAGATAATAAGAATTAGATCTGAGTAAAAATTATTACTATATGATCACTTGAGATATATAGTAAATTACTTGGATAACCTAGATAATTTAATAATCAAATAGAGATTTTCTTAACAAGTCTAACTTCTGCTAGATAATAATAAAGATTATATAATTCAAAGATATTTTTTATGATATAATAATGATAACAATAAGCTAAGTTTATATCAATTACAACTTATTAAACTTGAATATCTTAATAATTTAATTTATTAAAAATAATGATAATATTATCATCATCTTCAAGATTTTATTTAATAATACTCTTGTAATTATACAAAATTTCACATGACAAAAATAAAGTAAATTACATTAATATATATTAGTATTACAAAATAAAAATCTTGGAGATAATGATACAGTAATATTATCTCTAAATAATTTATTTTATATGTATTTTGTATACTGATCACTTCAAATTTAAATTTATTAAATTAGAGCATCAGTTAGAAATATAACTGGTCAGTCAAAAATCTCTAACTGAAGGGTATTAGTTATAGTTATAACTAGTTAATGAGGACTTGAGCAATCTATATACA